CCGTATTCTACTTGTATTATTATGTTGTCCACACTTCGTGGCACCCTGCCAAGTGTACGGTTCACGGTGTTCTATACATATAGTGAGTTTTATAATTATATGTTTATATTTAGACATAGTTATATATAGTTACATATATGTACGTTTATGTTTGGCGGCATCCGGTTTCGGATTTGCCTGTCACTGTGACCAGCCACAGGACGCCGGCGCCTACAGAGGGACCATAGATGGCTTACGCTGCACCACACACACCTCCAACCACACACTCCATATCCAGCGTAAACTCGAAGGAATAAGACCGGGAGGCATGTGGATGGGAGTCACCTCTCATCAACTGAGCCGGCACATACTCCTTCACAGGAAAACACATGCAAGCTGTAGTTGGGAATGAATCACGCACAAGGCGGTGGCTGGATCGTGGTCCGCTCCACACTGAGTGCATGGAACCACTCTTTGATCCTAACACGGCCACAAGAACCGTGCACCCCGTCCCCTCCAGTAACCACCAACTGTCTCCTGGAGCCAGTATGGACGAGGTAGTGGCTAATAGACAGGTAGGCACCTTGTCAACATGCACATCAAGCGCAACCACACCGCGGATATCAAGCAACAGCCATTCACTTTAAACGACAAACTGAAATAAGATAAATCGGATAATGCATACAGATACGGTGGCATAACTCTTCCCTAAATTACCATCTGAAGAAAGTTGGTTAGCAACGAATCCGCGATAAGTAAGAAATGTCGACAAGTTAATTTAAAAGCTGCAAACGCAACGAAGTTACCGAAGATAAGAGCAATTAGCGTAAGCAACGTGGCCAGTTATTAGTACATTATTCAGGTAGGCAGAACAAACCAAATAAAATGGAATGAAATGTATCCAGCTTAAAAAGATCTAATTAAACGGAAGCTTGGTTTAGCCCAAATGCGGTGAAGGACCATCAAGAATGCAACATCAGCCTCAGCCTGGGGCACATATGTACATATATGGTTGGCGACATCCGGTTTCGGATTTGCCTGTCACTGTGGCAAGCCACAGGACGCCTGCACCTACAGAGGGACCATGGATGGCTTGCGCTGCACCACCCAAGGCTCCAACCACATACCCCATATCCAGTGTAAACCCGAAGGAATAAGACCGGGAGGCATGCGGATGGGAGCCACATTTCATCAACGGAGCCAGCCCACACTCCTTCACAGGCAAACACAAGCACACTGTATTTGGGAATCAAGCGCACACACAAGGCGGTGGTTGGACCGTAGTCCGCTCCACACTGAGTGCATGGAACCACTCTTAGAGCCCAGCACGTCCACAAGGGCCGTGCACCCCGTCCCCTCCAGCAACGACCAACTGTCTCCTGGAGCCAGTATGAACGAGGTAGTGGGTAATAGACAGGTAGGCACCTTGTCAACATGCACATCAAGGGCAGCCAAACCTGGGATGTCAAACAACAGCCAATCATTCGAAATGCCGATATCGAATAATGTAAACGCATATGACGATATTAATGCTCGCTAAATAAGCATATGGAAGAAATTGGTTAAATGTGAATACGCGATAAGTACAAAATGTCCGAAAGTTGTTTAAAAAATGCTACACGATAAAATTACGCAAGTTTATCACAATTTGCATGAGCGACGTGGGTAAGTTGGGTGAAGATTATCAAGTACGCAGAACAAGAAAAAGATAAGATGTCATGAATTTTATCCACATTAACAAGAACTAGCTTAAGTGTAAGTTGGTTTAGCCCAACTGCGGTGAAGAAGCATCATGAATGCGACATCAGTCTCTGCATGGGGCATATATATATATATATATATATATATATATATATATATCGCAGTGAAAGGTGGACCATGTACCGGTGGGATGTGCTATATCTCGAGCAGTTCCATCAACAGGGCTTGCAACGGATTTTGCACATCGGATGGGGCGACAGAGTCGCGGAGGCCGAAGTATTGCGTCGAAGTGGAATGTTTGCAGTGGACTGCATACTTTTGCTGAGACACCTGAGGTGGCTTGGTCATGTGAGCCGTATGGATTCGACGCGGATACCGAAACAACTATTACATGGTCAGCTGAGTATTTGGAAGCGGCACGTAGGGAAACCAACGTTACGTTACCAGGACATGATCAAATTGAGCCTTTCACGTTCTAATCTTAATTGCAGATCATGGGAATTGAAGGTGATTGATCGGTGTGCATGGTGCGATCTGATCTCGAAGGCAGTTGCCGAAGTGCGGGAGAAAGACCTCATGCATGCAGACAAGAAGCAGCAGGTGCAAAAGCTACAAGCACCGATGGGTTGTACTCCATCGATATCGAGCCCATGGAGTTGTAGCACATGCGGTCGCGAGTGCCTGAGTCAGGCTGCCAAGCGAGCCATGAGCGAGGCCACTCTGGACCACTACCGAAGCGATGACGTGTCCTGCATAGGACGTAGGCAGAATTGGCGCAGCGTTTGTAGGTAAGCCGTGTTCGATTTACAAACCGCGTGCTTGCATTATAAATGCCTTTATTTCAGGTGGTAGGTTTTCAATTTTGTCCTAATGGTTTTCTTTCTCGTTTTAGTGTCTACCTGTACTATCTTCTATAAACCTGCACAACTCGCTTAAGTCAATTAGAGTTAATTTCGATAACATTTTCGAGTTTGTGGCAGTTTCTTAAAATATGATTTCTCACCTATCGAATTTATCGCGGATTCGTTCGTAATCATTTTTTGTACGCTCATTTAGTGAAGAGTTATGTCACCGTATCTGTATGCATTATCCGATTTATCTTATTTCACCTTGTCGTTTCAAGTGATTGGCTGTTGTTTGATATCATCGGTGTGGTTGCGCTTGATGTGCATGTTGACAAGGTGCCTACCTGTCTATTACCCACTACCTCGTCCATACTGGCTCCAGGAGACAGTTGGTCGTTGCTGGAGAAGACGGGGTGCACGGTCCTTGTAGCCGTATTAAGACCAGAGAGTGGTTCCATGCACCCAGTGTGGAGCGGACTACGATCCAGCCACTGCCTTGTGTGCGTTTGATGCCCCATATAGCGTGTTCGTGTTTTCCTGTGAAGGAGTGTGTGCCGGCTCCGTTGATGAGAGGTGACTCCCATCCACATGCTTCCCGTTCTTATTCCTTCGGGTTTATACTAGATAAGGGGTATGTGGATGGAACTGTGGGTGGCGCAGCGCAAGCCATCCATGGTCCCTCTGTAGGCGCATGCGTCCTGTGGCTTGCCACAGTGACAGGCAAATCCGAAACCTGATGCTTTCAACCATATATATAGCAATCAACGATGGTCGGTGACAAACAGCCGGGGCAGGTTTACGGTTTGCACATACCACGTCTCGCAACTATACAACAGTACAGCGCGGGCAGTCACACAATAAACCCTAACTATGATGGGCATAAGGAAGTCATGGCAGCACCATAAGCGCCTGCGGGAGAAAGCGAAACGAGCTCTTGAGATACGCATTGAAATCTCATTTCATTTCCAACAGCTCAACCAACAGTGATGCAAATTCTTAGGTAGAGAAAATTATCCGCAACCTCTAGTGTCTCGAAATCGAGAGCGAGGGGAGGTATGGGTATCTGTTGGTTTTGATAAAGTGCTTTGTACTTGCCGTAAAAAGATGCCAAGTAGCACTTCGGTGCTCACTGTATCTAAAAGCGGTGCTACTAAGAAACGGCCGGTGACCCGCGAGCAGTTGCAACAGACATTCGCCATAGTCCGTACAGTCGGAATTATGTCCACACTTACCGCTAGGCGGAGCTTCTAAAGAGTTCAGACGGCCTAACGGATCATTCATATCCCCGGTAACAACAAGGATATATGAACTTCAACCTTGAGAAGCAGCGTGTTCAGTTCGTGGTACGTATCCTTGGTAGCATCAGAACTGCAGTCGATGGGAGCATAAGCGTCTAGCGCTACTTTGGTCAAACGGGCTGCACACAAACGGCTGCTCATGGGAATCCAACGATGATGGCCTTAGAGTTAAGAATGATGTTCACCCCAGCTTGACCAGTGTTCGCCTCATCAGCGTCTCCGAATACATGCAACCAATAGCGAGAAGACAAGCAGGGCGCAGCTAATTCACCAAGCCCGTGAGGGTCATTGATCTTAATTTCGGACGCACGCACGTGAATACCCAGCGTGTCTAAATTGCGTGTGAGTGCAGCATGTTGACGTATTTGTCTTGGAGTGCGAACATTAAACGCTACCAAGGAAACTAGACAATTTGGTTCTATAAGGGGCTGCTGTCGATAGACATCCAGTGTGTGGTGAGGGAAAGTAGCTGTAGATAGCATGACTCCAGTGACATTGCGGCTTCTGTCAACTAAGCTGGAAACTATGGAAGCAGGGTTGGTAATGGGGCCGGGAGGGGAGTAAGAGAAATGAGTGGAAAAGGCAGGCGCTAACAGCAGCGTTTTCGCTTATCCACCTTGCTATATGTAGCAGATAAGGCGTAGCTTGATAATCTGCGCGACTGCCGATGCAGGATGTGGCTGGATTTTGGTTGTAGGTAGGTTGGGATACTGCTAGGGCACCCAGACCTGGACAGGAGAAGGATTAAGGTCATCAACCAAAGCCTTTCGCACAAAAGCTTGTGGGCAAGGCAGAGAAGAGGTGGCAATAAGTTGGTTTTACAGAAATGGATGCCATACCATTTCAAAACCCCAACCTGGAGGACTAGGAGACTGTTTGTCTGACACCACTAACCAACATGATAGGAGTGGTTCTTAAAGGAACCGGGGGCAGCATTTAGTATAGCTTAATAGGGTGAAGAGGTATGGAAACTGTCGCAACACGTTTAGGTCGAGGTCCGCTGTAACGGACGGAAAAAGGAAACAATGCATACAACGGAAGCAAATAAGTTAAACTGTGGCTGGAACAAAATACGTTTAAAAACAGCGTTGTCGCCTTGATTGTCGTATAAAGTGCTAGGAAACGTACACACTGAATCCTATCATTTAGGAACAAACGGAAGGACAATGCAGATACCTTAGGGAGCTGTCCAGTTTGCTAAGTTGGCAATCAATTTCATCATCCGATCCATCTGTCTTGACATTGTACTCTCTTGTGTACTGAAGCCGTTATGCAAAGTGCCGCCTACCATGTGATGGGAAGGGTAGTGGAGTGAGGGGTGTTCTGAACGCATTCCTTCTGGAATCTCTTCGACAGAACATCCACTGACTCTACAATCTTTGAGACCACATCGCATATCCTCTTTGAAGAACGGACAACCACGTTCAAGATTGACCTATAAAGGAAATATTAATTTAACCATAACCAATGTGCATTGTCTAGGGAAGAAGCAGTGAAAGTTTAGAGCATATTGCACTTAAGCGAGTTAGAATTTTCATAGTGAGTACTCTCCTGATCGCCAATGTATCGTCCTGCTGCATAAGTGGTCGTACCAGTTCAAGGCGCGCAGAGAAAAGAACACGTAGCCGATAGGTGTGAGGAGAAAACGCAAGGGTATCTACCAGTAGTACCACTACAATGAGCAGCGAAACGAACACTTTCATAACCAACTTCCGATTGAAGAAAGAGCGTGGTCACGTAGAAATGATGGAGGAAAATGGGACAATTAGCCATAGTGAGACAAGGAGATCAGGAATCCGTACAACGAGGAATGTAAGTTATTGTTTGTGTGCACTCGCATTGAAGAGGTGATAAGGAAAACAACATTTCGCATATCTTAAAAACGCTTTAGTACACCGTTAACAGTAAAATAGTCGGAGCAATCTTTTTTGCAGCGGGAAACAAGTAGCGCTACTCTTTGGTTGTTTTGAAACTTGAATGAACATAAAAACATGAAGCAAGATACGAAGCAGGTAAGCATTGTGCTACTATGTGGGGAATGACATGTAATGGTGGCAAGTGTAATAAAAGACAGCAGCGGCGCCTAAGTAATGCTAACCATTGTAGCAAGATTCAACCGCCAAAGGAGAGTGCAAGGATAACTTATAACTCAGAAATTAAAATAGTCTATTAGTACCAGTAAGGAGTTAGCAAAAAGCAAAGGAAATGGATCGGCAGTACGTCGGCACATCGCGCCCATTCTTCGTAGCTATGCAAACACCATCAGCCGTGTGTGCGCTACGTATACCGCGAGGTAGCCCGCATCTACATTGCGTTGGTAGATCTCCGACTTACGGGCACATTGTGACAGGGCGCTAGCATAGTATGTGCATGGTGTAATGGTGGTGCGCGAGGTGATCACAATGTCAGCAGAAACAGGCAAATTAATAGGGGATAAACAATGACGGATGTGCTGTCAAAAGAAGACTGACTGCAAGCGAGTACCTTAGAAAATAGTCAGCCAAATGAATACAGCGGTTAACCGTGGTCTTAAGAGCAGTACGATACATCATTCAAAAATGAACTCCAGGAAACAGAAATGGCGTTACGCTACGGATGTGCAACCGGTAAAAGCTGCATACGTTTATGAAAGCGGGAAGTGATTAATGACAATTGAACAGCTGTAGACAAATAACCGCACTATGAAAGAAACCTGTGGAAAAAGTATAAATGAAAATATAAAACAATCGTGGTGTCAAAAGTGCGTCGTATTAGTGAAAGTTTGAGCAGAGAATAGACAGTCCCGACTATGCCAGTTAGGACAATTGGAAGGCTGCTTGTAGGGAGGCCCTTATGAACACTAAATACTGAGAATAGAGAGCGAGAAGATAAAAATCTGTGTTGCTCCAACGTAGATGGATCGGACACATGCGCGGAATCACGTCGCTGATTCCTGCGCGGTCGCAGCATATTGCAGCTGCACTTCATCTTATCCGGGTGCGATACGCTCTTTATACCTGTAGTCCGCAAAGTGGGTGTCAAGGAATCTCTTAAATTCCGACACCGATTTCGCCTCGACTAGCGTCTCCAGCAACTTGTTCCAATGTTTCACCACTGGACGCTCGAAGCATAGAGGGTGAGCGATGCGCTTTAAGTCCGGCATGATGTGGTCTATTCGATTGTACTTTAGAGTCCTTACGGCCAAAGTCTTTCAGCATTTATTCCTGACTTTTAAGCAACCTCACTTGGAATTCTGTGATCGAGCTTGTCCACCGTATATTGTCCGATACAAAGTGGACCTGGAGAGGAGTCTACGAGTGGGAGCGGTGTTGGTGGATGATTTATAGGGACAGAAGTAGTCCGAATGTTTGCTTAATACGGGTATGTATTCAATACCCTACCGGTGAATTAGAGGACTTGGACTCCGCCTAACGTATTGTTACGGGAAAGTTGACCTACACTTGTCTTGGCAACTTAATCAAGCTAAGTTACCAATCTCCGCGGTCACCAAGTGAAGCTATACAAGCCGCACACTGACCAGATTAGGAGGGAAACTCGTTTGTCCGCCAAATCACGGAACGCTGGAGCTCGGTTCTAGACCAAATTGTTAAGAAACGTATGGCCGAGGGTTTTGAGTGTCAGTTCGATGCTATTTGGTGGGAACAAGGAGTATATATTTTCTCAAATGACTCCTATTTTCGGACTTTTTACCTTTTTATCGTACATCCTCCCATGTCTTGAGGTAACAATTACTTCGTTGCGTTCTATTTACTGTCCCTTGAGTTTACGGTTCCTTCTTTCTTACTTCAGGTAACTGGCCCAACATGGACTGCAGGTGAAGTCTACGAGACGGGCATCACGTCCTGAAAGACCTCTCCCCAGAGGACAGAGTCAAAATGAGACACGTTGTTATTGAGTTCCGAACTCGTCGAGCGAATGGCGAAACCGAGCTCCACATTGTGGATTTTCGCGTAGTGCAGAAAACGCCGAGAGCTAGATGGAGGCCAATGCTTCTTCTCACCGGACCCCAAGTGTAAATTCTAGACTACGTGTGATATTTGAGAAAGTGCGCAGTCTCAGAAACAATAATAATAAAAATAATAATAATAAATAATAATAATGTGTCAGCTGTACGCCGTAACGGCGCTTCGCTGCCGCGCGACCACCACCAGTCGCGCGCCGGCTGAGTATACCGCAAGCACGCCCACCCTTACACGGATTCGAACCGGTGACATTATGGTTGCAAACCAAACGTGCAGACCACTCGGCCACCGGCCGACTCTCAGAAACAAGCTAGATGAGATTCAACTCCTTAGTTCAGAGCAAGGACCGGATCCAATGGCGTTCACTGAGACTTGGCTGTCATCAGACATGTCGGACTCAGAGGCTCAACTTCCAGGTCATCAGCTCTTTCGATCTGATAGCTCCAGTCGAAGATCTGGAGGTGGAGTAATCCTCTATTCCAAATCCTACCTCAAAGTCAACGTTCTTAAAACGGACTGCGACAACGATGATGCGTCAGAAGTACTCTGGTGTCGAATTCACGATGGCTTCCAGTCGCTGACGGTCGGAGTAGTCTACAGACCCCCATCAACATCTGGCTCCTACCTTCTGCACTCAGTGAGAAATAATGCGAAGGGCACGAACTGCCTGCTTACGGGGGATTTCAATGCCCCCTGCATCAACTGGGACCTTCTTCATAGTGACCTCATGGGGTCCTTTGAAGCTCGTCTACTAGACACCATCCTCGAATGCAACCTCACGCAGCACGTCCTAATACCAACAGGGATGCTCCCAGACCAAACACCTCACATTCTAGATCTGGTGCTCACTCCGGCTCAACCTCATGTCTCTGATCTAACGATCGTCCATCCGCTGAGCAAGAGGGACCACTCTGTCATCCCCTTCCAGTGGACACGATGCCTTACAATTCATGACCAGGGGACACGTCATCGCAACTTTTGGCGGTCCGACCAGTCCAAGACCACACAACTAGCATCGAGCTACTCAGAGTACAAAGCTGTAAGGAACCTTTGCACACTGAAAAAGCGCAAAAAGCGGCTTCAGTACGAACACGGCCTGGCCACGGAATCTCTAACTTGTCCCAAGAAACTCTTCTCATACACGAAATGTCAGGGCGGGTAGTGGGATCCCCACGCTACTCTCCGAATAAGGCACCGTGCTTTCCGATGACGAGGAAAAAGCCAACATATTAGCTTCGCAGTACCCTTCGTTCTACTCAGTGGAGCCCCCTCTGCACAGAAACTTTCTGACTGCACGCTGTCCCTCTTTTGATCAAATCGAAAACAACCCTGAAGTGGTGATGAAGCTCCTTCTCGAACTGGATCTGAACTCCTTTTCTGGCCCAGATGAGCTGCATCAAGTATTCCTTAAGACTACATCGCTGATCCCCTCTGCCAAATATTTCGCCACTCCCTCGAAGTGGGTCGTTTACCCACTGACTGGAAAGAAGACACTGTGATGTCCAAGTACAATGGCGGAGACCACTTAGGTCCGGAGAACTATCGCCCAATCTGCCTGACATCCGTCGTCTGCAAGACCATGGAACGAATCCTCAAACGCGTGCTCCAGCTACACTATGAGAACTACGACGTAATTTCTCCATCCCAACATGGTTTCCGGAAGGCACGTTCCTGCGTCTTCAATTTGCTAGTCGCCAGAGAAACTTCGGCACAAGTCATAGATGCCCAAAAATATAAATGTGGTCTTCATCGACTTCAGCAAAGCCTTTGACAAAGTTCCTCACCAAAGGCTGCTGTTCAAACTTCAGGAGATCGATGTGACGGGCAAAGTCCTCTTTTAAATCACCGACTTCCTAAGAGACCGCAGCCTACGCTTAAAGCACATCCGCCACTGTACCAATAACAAGAGGGGTTCCACAAGAATCCGTACTTGGACCAGAACTTTGCAAAATGTACATAAATGACCTCCCGATTGCGCTTCAAACCGACTGCTTGATCTACGCTGAGGATCTTAAGCTCTGGTCAACAGTATGTAGCCTAGACGATGCCGATAAATTACTAGAGCCTCTAGAAATGCTGCACGAGTGGTCTACCTAGTGACGATTACCTGTGAATCGCTCCCTACTTCGGCTTGGGCAACCTGGTAGTATCACGCACTCTCACAAAACCATGGACCGTACTACATCCTGCTCGTCAGCTAGCGTTGCTGCTTCGCACTTTCACACGACTTCATCACGCGCCAATTGTTTGTTTGTTAACACTCCTCACTTTCCGTTACCCGATTCATGTGTTCAACAATCCGGTTGCGATTCTGGCTGCGCCGCAAATCAAGGAGTTCAATCTATGGCTCTCCTTCGTCCCCTATCCTCGTTAAGTCTGGCGTACTTCAACTTTCGGACACTCATGTAGAATGGACAGCAAGCCGATCTAGCGCGCACCCTAGATTGCCTAGATATTCATGTCTGCTGCCTTTCAGAAACCCGATTACAAGGTCCCAGCACTGTACTTACACTGACATCCTGCACTGACCACTAAGCCAGATATCACCTGCGTCTTTCTGGAGATCCAGAAGCAGCCTCAGTGGGTTTGGCTGGTGTAGGTATATCATTAGTGGTAAAGCCGAGGCGGTACTACTGGACTGGTACCCGATTAACAGCCGACTATGTGCAGTTCTGGCTCGGGGTTTATGTAGAATCAACAAGTACCGCGAAGAGAGACGCAACTTGTTTGTGATCTCCGTGTACGCTCCAACTGACTGCAGTGGCGACTCGGTCAAGGACAAATTCTGCCCGGATCGACATCAGCTCTTGACTAATGCTAAAAAATCGGATGTCGTTATCATTGCTGGGGATTTTAATGCACGGGCTGGCCGCCTGCTACCATACGAACGCCACCTTGGTGGTCATCACGCGCTCGGCGAGAACCGCTCTGATAACGGAAAGAGGCTTCTCACATTGTGCGAAGTCAACCATCTGTTTCTCTCGAGCACTAACTTCAGGCGTAGGAAAAAGCATTCCGAAACGTGGCGTCACTCTTCGCCAACACAACCTTGGTCTCAAATTGATCACATTACAATTAGCTTCAGATGGCGCGGCAGCGTACTGGACTGCAGGTCCATTTGGTCCAGCATCGTTGACTCAGATCATACTCTGGTCTGCGCGAAAATCTGTGTTTTGAGGGGTCCCGGAACACGAAGAACCGCAAGATTGATGTAAACAGATTCCTCTGTCCAGGCAAGCTATCAGTCTTCACCGGCATATGCACTCAGTTGCAATCCATTGCAAGAAATGAAAAAACACTGGAATTTCCGGTCCGCTGCTCTACCACTGAGCTACCGAGGGCTGACGATTAGGTGTGCAAATTTTAACACATGACTTCTGCTTGTTGCGCGATGTATTACCAATGGGCTCACAGTACCTGTCCTGGTGTTGCAGATTGGCTCATTCACCCGTCACTTCCCAATGGACTGAAGTATCTGTCCTTCGAATGTCCAATGGGTGATAGTAGACAAAATTTGGATGTTTGTGAGTAGGGTAAAGATTGTGAGCCCATTGGCAATACGTCTCACTTTCGTTAAAGGGCCGCGTTTACAGTGCATCAGTTCGCTCAGTATTGTTGTATGGGAGCGAGTCCTGGCCGATTCGCGTGGGAGACATGCGTCGTCTTTCTGCCTTCGATGCCGGTTGCTTAAGGAGGATCGCTCGTGTTTGGTGGCAACATCAAGTTAATAGTAATGACGTTCGATGTCGCATCTTGGGGAATGAAAGTACTCCTTTCAGCAAACTGGTTTTGTTGCGCCAGTTGAGATGGCTCTGTCACGTCCTACGCATGGCACCTGACCGTTTATCGCGTCGCACTCTATTTGCTCGTCAAGGACCTGGCTGGAGACGACCGCGTGGTGGTCAGCCTTCATTTGGTGGCAGCACATGAAATCGCTGACGTCGTGTCTAGCCGCTGTTGAATCCATACGTCTTCCAGGATGGGAAGCTAAAAATGAGGAGTGCCAATGACAGCACCCTTGAAGACATGGCCCGCAATCGGAATCAGTGGAAGAATTGTGTACAGTATTGCATTAATTCATATGTTTAATACTAGAAACATTGAAAATGACATAAAACAGAGAAAGCGATGTGTGAAAAACGAACAAAATGTTTCGTTCTATGTTTTGGCAAAATGTTCCATCATTCCTGCGGCATATTAGCTGAAGGGTGTTGCTCACCTTTAACTACCATGCCAAGATGATTATGACGCGATGACTCCCTTATCCGTTGATCTCCATGGTTTTATGTTGGCTCTGTGTCTGGTTGATAGACTGCTATGATTACTACTACTGCTGTGAATCGCGATTGATGTGCCGTTCTACCAATCGGCGAAACCGATCCATACGGCACAAACCATATTGGTGAATTTCTCGTCAACACCATTCCAGAAATGTATCTCGTGCTCACCGTATCCTCTGACCTTAGGACGTCCCAGGACACACTGAAGGGCGCAACTGCAGAGCCTTCCAGGTGCCTTGAGGTCCTTCTACCGAATAACTCCTGAGATCTTCCGACTAGTATGTACCGCATGCGTACGTCCCATACTAGAAGATGGCAAGCCATCCGTTTTTCCATTCTTAAAGTTTAAGTGCTCTTTGATAGAGAACGTCCAGAAGCGTGCCTCAAAGCTGTCATCGGGATCCGCGATCTTATCCTCTCCGACTTTATCAGCTGAACCTGTTTCCCCTGGAGTTCCGCCGTCGCCGCGGCGCTCTCATCTACACTAGACGCATCCTTCTTGGTAAAATGTAGTTCTTCCACCACAACACCGACTGCTCGACACGAGATCACCAATGGAAACTGTTCAAATCCTGAAGGCTCCACGCTCGCTCAGACCCCACTTTGTAGACCTGGGTGGTGAATGAGTGGAACAGTTTATCAAAGAAAATTATTGACGCACCTTTGGAGGAATGTTTCAAGAAACTTAGACAAGCACTTAAAGAAGACGCATGGATCCGGTTGCTCCCGCTGCAAGTGCGACGAGCCATTGATGAACGTCGTCACACTACGAGCGCAACTATCCCATATTGGCTAGGAATCGACGGAGCTGACAAGGGTGTTACATGTGTGTCGTCCGCTAAACCGCTGAGCCGATGAGCAAACACAGACACATACAGATCGATTGACCGATAGCTGATTCGTCTACTCTTTTTTCCTTGTGCTGCTTGGTTCCTTTTCGACTTATTCATCTGGTGTAACCTACAAGCTATCTATTACAGTTTTTGACACGTCCCATCCGGTGTGTGTTCCTATTCACTCCTTGCGCGGACTAAGGGTCCAGGTGCGATCCAGCAATACTCGAGTAATACGTATCAAAGGGTTCTCCCCTCTGGCTATGGAATTGAAGACTGGTAGCTCAGGTTGTTCAGATGGCAGTTGAACTGTTCGCTGAGCTTGGCAATTTGGTTGCAAACGTTTCGTCACCAATCGAGGTGACATCATCAGTGCGTAGTTGAGTAGCGTGCAGTAGCGTAGAATAGCGTAGGGGAGCCTCGGTTCTCCCCTCTGTTATCTACAACCCAATGAACCAATGTAGACGGTAATTGGTTTACTAGAGTATTACACGGTTTTTGTTTTAGGTTCACCCATATTTCAGATTACTTCCTCAACTCATGGTTCAATGACTCGCTTAAGAAAGGGCACAGGATAATCAATCGTTTCGGTCCCACTTGAACTAGAAGTAGAACGAAGCGCGTGAAGCCATACATGGGTACGCTAATGCCGCGGTCATTAGTGAAACAGGGGGCATACACACGCGAATAAATTTAGTGTGATAATTTAAAATCGCTGTATGGAACGGTGATCAGCAGACAAAAAACAAGAGTGATTGAGAAGGAAGTCCTAGAAAAGGCAGCAAATTTACAGCTAACAAGAAAACCGACAATGTACATACTGTAAAGACGGCAAAAACAAGTTTCAGACAAACGCTTCATCTGTGTCAAATGCCCGTTTCGCCAGCACAGATATTAAGCACAGAGGCCAAACTAACCTCGAAATAATAGAAGAAGTCAAGTCGGAGGATACTAGTAATGCGAGGGAGAACTTTATAATCATCCACCCCGTTAACATACTGAGTATGCGCCGTAACATCCCCAATGGGGCCGGTAATCTAAACGAGAAAATGTCAACGTTAATGAATTACACTACAATTGTGAAACACGTCTCTGAAAACCATAACAAAATCGACCAAAGCGAGAATAACAAAGCAAGTTGACATGCGTCACGCATATGGTTGGCGGCATCCGGTTTCGGATTTGCCTGACACTGTGACAAGCCACAGGACGCCTGCACCTACAGAGGGACCATGGGTGGCTTGCGCTGCACCACACACAGCTCCAACCACACACCCCATATCCAGTGTAAACCCGAAGGAATAAGACCAGGAGGCATGTGGATGGGAACCACGTTTCATCAACGGAGCCGGCCCACACTCATTCACAGGCAAACACAAGCACGCCGTATTTGGTGAATCAACCGCACACAAGACGGTGGCTGGACTGTAGTCCGCTCCACACTGAGTGCATGGAACCACTCTTCAAGCCTAACACGGCCACAAGGACCGTGCACCCCTTCCTCTCCAGCAACGACCAACTGTCTCCTGGAGCCAGTGTGGATAAGGTAGTGGGTAATAGACAGGTAGGCAACTTGTCAACATGCACATCAAACGCATCCACACCGGGGATATTAAACAACAGCCAATCACTTGAGAGAGGGAGAGAGGTACAAAGAAAATAACTCGATTAATGCATAAGGAAACGGTGACATAGACCTTAAGTTAATGAGCAAATGAAATAAGTTGTTTACAAACGAATCCTAGATAAGTTCACGAGGTCAGAAAGTATACTTTACGGAAATGCCACGAGCAAAAAAATGTAATGGAAATCGAATACAGTTGGCTTAAGCGAGGTGTGCAAGTTAATGGAATAGAGTACAGGTAGAAATTTATATGTGAAGGAAAAGCATTAGGACAAAATTGAAAACCCCCCACCTGAAATAAAGAGACTTAGCAGGCACACACGCGGTTAGTAAATCGAATGCAGCGTACCTACAGACGCTGCGCCGGTCCCGCCTACCTTCTCTGCAGGACCCGTTGTCGCTTCTGTAGTGGCCTCGAAGTGCCTAGCTTATGGCTCACTAGACATTTATATGAGAAAGAAAGGCATTAGGACAAAACTGAAAACTCACCACCTGAAATAAAGAGACTTAGCATGCACACACGCGGTTAGTAAATCGAATGCAGCGTACCTACAGACGCTGCGCCGGTCCCGCCTACCTTCTCTGCAGGACCCGTCGTCGCTTCAGTAGTGGCCCCGAGTGGCTTCGCTCATGGCTCACTAAGCCTGCCTGACTAAGGCACTCGCGACCGCATGTTCTACTGCACCATGCGATTGGTGTCGATGGAGAACAACCCATCGGTGCTTGCCGCTTCCGCACTTGCCGCTTCTTCTCTGCATGCATGAGGGCTTTCTCCTGCACCTCGGCAACTTCCTTTGGGATCAGATCGCGCCATGCACACCGATCAACCGCCTTCGATTCCCATGATCTGCCATCAAGATTAGAACGTGTGAGGCTCACTTTAATCATGTCCTGGTAAAGTAACTTTGGTTTCCCAGCATGCCGCTTCCCAATACTCAGCTGATCATGTAATAGCTGCTTCGGTATCCGCGTCGAATCCATATGGCTCACATTACCGGTCCACCTCAGGTGTCTCAATAAAAGTATGCAGTCCACTGCATACATCCTACTTCGGCGCAACACTTCCGTGTCTGCAACTCTGTCGCCGTATCCGATGCTCAAACTCCGTCGCAGACACTGCTGATGGAACCGCTCGAGATATTGTACATCGCGGCGGTACATCGCCCACGTTTCACTGCCATATGGAAGAACGGACAGCACATGGATTTGTACACCATCAGCTTCGTGCCAATAGTAAGCTGATGGTTGTTTCACATTCGGTACTCAAGCTTCCCGAATGCCGCCGCTGCCTTCGACACGCGAATACGCAACTCAACGTGTAGCTGCTGATCAGTCGATATCACACTCCCAAGGTAGCGAAAGCGGGAGGTGGTTTCCAATGCTTCAGCACCAATGCTGATTTGCGGCAATATTGAAGATTGCACCTCCGGTGAAGGCTGAAAGAGACAGACAGTTTTGCTTGTGTTGATGGTGAGCTCGAATTTGGCCATTGTCGAAGCCAGAGCACTAGTCATGTGCTGCAACTCCTCCGCGCTTTGTGAAAACAACGCACAGTCGTCAGAAAACAGCAACATACGGAAAGTTGTCTCACTGACTAGAGTTCTTGCACCGAAACGACGGATGTTCAGCAACCCACCGTCCATACGGTGCTCCACACGAACCCCGCAAGCACAAGCCGCATCAAAAGCACAGGACAACATTGCATGAAGATATATATTAAACAGGGCAGGAGCTAAGACACAGCCTTGCTTCACACCAGAGACAACTGCAAAGTCATTCGAGGTCTCTCCACTCAGCTGCACCCTCGCCGCATACCACTGTGCAAGCATTCAATTAAATTTACAAACTTACGCGGGCAACCAAACTTACCCAACACTAACCACAATGCCTCGCGCTTCACCGTATCAAATGCCTTGGTGAAATCAACAAAAAGTGAGTACAATGGCTGGAGTCGTTCTCTGCACTTCGCTTGCAACTGACGAGCTGCAAACACCATATCGATGGTGCTGCAACCCGAACGGAATCCGCATTGCTCTTATGCCACGTTAGGTTCCACAACCTGACTGACGAGGCGGTTGAGAAGGATTCGGGCAATCACCTCGTCCACACAACTCGGCAAGTTGATGCCACGATAATTCGTGCAACATTGCTTGCTACCCTTGCCCTTGTACAGTGGTGGCACAAGGGCATCCTTCACCTCAGCAGGCACCCCCTCTTTAATCCATACGCGTTGCACCAAGTGGTGCAGCGCAGTCAACAATGCGGGTCCACCTTGATCCAATACTTCAGGCGGGATCCCGTCGGCCCCAGCACACTTGCCGTTTCGCAGCTGAGCAAGTGCTCTCTGCGTCTCATCCAGTGTCGGCGTGTCCGTCAGCCTCGCTTTGACATTGTGCTGCTTGAGGCCGTTCAATATAGGCCAGTCGATCTCTGAACGGTTGTTCAAGAGACATTCAAAGTGCTCTCACCAGATCTGCATTATGTCTGCAGTCTGTGTGCAGGTAGGGCCTGAACTACCATCGATCAGTGTCCACAGCAGCTCCAATCTCGGTCCATACACCGCCTTCAAGGAGTCAAAGAATTCCTTTTGTTGGCGGCCTTCGGCGTAGCATTCCATCTGCTTCGCCTTCTCCGTCCACCATGCAAATTTAATGCGACGGTGCTCTCGGGTCAGTCGCCGTCGAAGTTTGCGGAACTGACTACTCTTTCCCAAGTCACTGGGGTCTGCAACATGTGCAGCAAATGCTGCATTCTTCTCTGACACCAATGCGCCGATCGTCGCATTGTTGTCATCAAACCAATCAGGCCGCTTACGGTTTGCGCGCCCGATGGTCTCCTCGGCAGCAGCTGTCACCTGGTCGCAAATGTGGTGCCACAGGTCGCCCACTGTGGCTATGCAGTCCACATCACACAGGCGTGTAGCCATCGCCTTCTCCAGCTCAGTACGTTTCGCCACAGTACCGAGGGAGAGAATGTTAAATTTACGCCGATTCACGGCGGGAGTGCAATACATCGATTTACGAAAATATATGTACAGTTTGGTCAGCACCAACTTGTGATCAGTGCCACATAGCTCCACGCAGTACACGTGTCATGCGCACATCACGCAAATCACGCTGACGTACGATGACATAGTCGAGCAGTTGAGCGTGACCACTCCGTGGGTGCGTCCAAGTTGCTATATCACTCGCAATCAGTGCAAACCCAGTGTTCGTGATCGTCAGGCCGTGAGTGGCACACAGTGAGAGCAGCCTGTCACCGTTCGCATTCGTTGAACCAATGCCATGATGGTCATCTGCAATTTCCACTACCGCAGCACAACCCTGCGCCTCAGGTCTGTGGTTTTATCACTAGTCCTGTCAAGCACTGGATCTCTGCGCGAGTCCACCAATAACTCGAAGCTCACCAGACAATGCCACTTGGTGTTGAGCATAAATCCCTATGCAGGACCACTAACGCTAAACTCAAATAGAGTTTCAGGAAGGACCGTGAGGACTGGTGGACGCAACGTGTCGTTAATATGGAGCAGGCAGCCAGCTCAGGGAATTTTCGAAAGTTATTCCACCTGATCCGATCAACTGGCGGCAAATAACCGACTGTAAGTGAAGTGTTAAGCAAAAGCAATGGCGAGTGAATCACTATCAACACTGTCAACTTGTGCGTTGGGCTGAGCACTTTGAGCAGTACTTCAATTAGCTTGTAGCAGCGGTGATCTCTCATTCTGGAATCCGTGGTGTTCCCTGGTGTCTGAACGATACACCACCTTCTGAGGCTGGGGTTACTCATGTGCCTAGCCTCCTAAATCGCTACTAAGCCTCTGTCCCAGAAGAATCCCATACGGCTCTTTTCAAGCATGAAGGTTCATCGTTTGTTCGGGAGCTAACTCCCCTCCACCAAAAGGTTTGGACCACTGAAGCAATCTCGTCCGATTGCAGTTTCGCGGATATCGTGCCCGTCTTCAACAAGGGTGTCCGGACGCACTGCGCTAATCACAGGGGGATTGTTCTCATCTGCGTTATCTCTAAAGTGCTCACCACCCCGCTTTTAAGGAGACTCAGCCTGGTACACGAACAAAACATACTCGAAGAGGAAGCTGGGTTCCGCTCCGGCCGGAGTTGTATCGAGCACATCAATACACTCCGCCAACTGTTCGTGCGTCGTCAAACGTTCGGTGAGCTCACGATTGTCGTCTTCTTAGACCTATGAGCCGCGTTTGACTCAGTTGACCGAGCTGCTCTCTAGTGCAGCCACTTGCGAAGGAGAGTCCTTGCGAAATACGTCAACATCCTTAGAGCCTTCTACTGTCGAACCTTGGGCCGAGTGCAGGTGTACGGCGAACTTTCGCCGTCCTATGATATCACTAGTGGTGTGAGACAGAGCAGCCCAGCATCACCCTTGCTGTATAGCTTCGCTATTGATGACATCCTGGAGTGCGCTCTGGTGCATTTTGGACCCAGCGCCGTTGAACTGCTTCCGCGT